CCCCCCGGGGGGCCCCCCGGGGGGCCCCCCGGGGGGCCCCCCGGGGGAAAGAAGTTGAGGGGGCACCTGAGGGGGCAGGAGGCGCTGGTTTTGAGCCAGCGGGCTATGCATGCGGAGTGGAAGAAGTGGGCGCAAGGAAGGGCCCTTAAAAGGTCTTGGGGAAGAAAATGAGAAAGACAAATGGCGCATGCAGTGTGGGGTGGGGGGCGTGGGGTGTACGTACACCTGAGGCGGGCCCAGGGGACCTCCTGCAGCCGCTGCAGCAGCAGCCGCGGCAGCGCGAAGCGGGTGTGGGGCTCGTTGCGGAAGAGCTGCTGCAGCTGCTGCTCCGGCAGCAGCAGCGCCGCCAGCAGCGCAGCAGCAGACAGCAGCAGCAGCAGCACGCTCGGGCCCAGCAGCGACAGAAAGCCCAGCACCAGCACCGCCATGTACCTGCACAGCAGCGGCGCCCCGCTGCTGCTGCTGCTGCTGCTGCTGCTGCTGCTGCTGCGCGCTGCTGCGCTGCAGCTGCCGTCCGTGTACATGGCGTGCAGCGCAGCAAACATCACGCAGCAGCAGCAGCACCAAGCCAGCCGCGCCAGCTGCCAGCAGCAGCTCCGCAGCAAACTGGCCAGCTCCTGGTCCACTGGTCTGGACCACCAGACCAGCCGCAGGTCCCGCACGCGCTGCAGCACGCAGCAGCAGCAGCAGAGCCGCAGCAGCGAGGCCCCCAGCAGCAGCAGCAGCAGCGGGAAGTAAGCCAGGCCCCACAGGGGCCCCTCCTCCTGCAGCAAAGAGTACAACAGCACCCCCAAGTGGGCCCCACACATAGCAGCAGCAGCAGCAACTGCTGCTGCTTCCCAGTAAAACAAAAAGTCCAGACACAGCCGCACCCCCAGCACTCCCCGCGGCAAACGCAGCGCGCAAAAGCCCCGCCTCCTGCTGCTGCTGCTGCTGCTGCTGCTGCTGCTGCTGCTGCTGCTGCTGCTGCTGCTGCACCCCACGGATAAATACCGCCGCCGCAGATGCGGATCCGCCCCCGCACGCACCATCCACAGCGGCAGCCCCCAGTACTTCATCAACCGCTCCAGCATTTTCCAACTGCTGCTGCTGCTGCTGCTGCTGCTGCTGTGTTGCTGCTGCTGCTGCTGCTGCTGCTGCTGCTGCTGCTGCTGGCGGCGGAAGGGCCCCACATTACAGCGCGCGACGGAACGGCCCCGCCGGAGGAGCGGCGCAGAGCAACGCGCAGCAGCTCCGCCAAAGAGCCAAGCTGCTGCTGCTGCTGCTGCCGCTGCTGCTGCTGCTGCTGCTGCTGTTGCTGCTGCTGCTGCGGGCTCTCGGGACTGGGGCTTCTCGGGGAGGGTTTGCTGGCTGCGTTTAGTGCAGCCGCTGCTGCGCGTCGCCGCGGAGTTGACTGCGGCCGGAAGCAGCCCGCTGCTGCAGCAGCTCGCTGCTGCTGCTGCTGCTGCTGCTGCAGCAAAGGGAGACGCTGCTGCTGAGGCGCAACAGCAGGAATGAGACAGAGGGAAATGGAAAAGAAGCAGCAAATGAAGGAAAGAGCAGCAAAGGGGAGAGGCGAGTTTGTCTCACTGGGCTCCGCCGCAGCCAGCGGGGGAGCGCGCGCGGCCGAACGCGGGAGAAGAAAGGGTTTTTTTGGAGGAAATAAGAAATTAAAAGTTTAAATAAAATGTTTTAAGTTTTAAATTGCATCTACTGCAGCAAATTGCAGCGCGGGAGAGCCGCCGGGCCCCTCAGAACGAGCCCCCAGTGGCTGCCGAGGCCTCGCGCCCGGCGACGCGCCGATTGGGGCGCTCCGCCGGGGCTTTTTTCCCCCTTTTTCGCAGCTTCGGGAGTCTTTTTAATTGCAATTCAAAGCCCAATTGAGTCGACTCAACGCGGCCTCCGCAGCAGCAGAAAAAACGGAGAAATTCCGCGGCGAACGGCCGGCGGACGCGGGTGGTTGAGCTGGGGTGTACAGACACCTCAAGTCGGCGCCGCCAGCGCTCCAGACTCTCCTCCGCAGACTTTGCTCTTCAAAACATTTTATTTATTCTTTTTCTCTTCAAATTCAGCTTTAATTGCAGTTTCCGCGCGCGCGTTCTGCATTTGCAGCTCCTCGCGCGCCCACTCGGGTGTCTGTACACCCCAGAGCGCTGGCGCCCGCCACCGCGCCCAGCTGTCTGTACACCTCGAGGCCCCCTCAACGCAGCAGCAAAAGAACTCCATTACTTTTAATTAAAGTTATTTTGCTTCCTTTTCCCTTTCTAGGAGCAGCAGGAGGCGCGCTGCTGCGCTGCAGCACCACTCTACCAGACATGGCAGCTTGCTGCTGCTGTCGCTGCTGCTGCTGCTGCTGCTGCGGCCCCGCCTCTCCCCAGCCGGAGGCAGCAGCAGCAAACAACTCTTCAAGGCAGCAGCGACTTCTTGCTGCTGCTTTAAAGGGCCCCCCAGCTCTGGCCAGCAGCACGAAGCCCGAGGCCTCCGCAGCTAGCCACAGCTACCTGCAGCAGCTGCAGCAGCTGCAGCAGCTGCAGCAGCTGCAGCAGCTGCAGCAGCTGCAGCTAGCCACAGCAAGTCCCCGCCAGCTGCAGCTAGCCACGGCTAAGTGCAGCGAACCTGAGCTAGCAGCACAAGCCACGGCTAGCAGCAGCAAATCACGGCTAGCAGCAGCAAGCCACGGCTAGCAGCAGCAAGCCAAAGTTAGCAGCAGCTAGCTACAGCTAGCAGCAGCTAGCTACGTCTAGCAGCAGCTAGCTACGTCTAGCAGCAGCTAGCTACGGCTGGCAGCAGCTAGCTACGGCTAGCAGCAGCAAGCCGTCTAGCAGCAGATAGCCGGAGTTAGCAGCAGCAAGCAGCGGCTAGCAGCAGCTAGCCAGAGTTAGCAGCATTTAGCCGTACACAGCAGCAGCTAGCCACACCTAGCAGCAGCTAGCCACACCTAGCAGCAGCTAGCCACACCTAGCAGCAGCTAGCGATGTCTAGCAGCAGCTAACCATATGTAGCAGCAGCTAGCCATATGTAGCAGCAGCTAGCCACATGTAGCAGCAGGTAGCCATGTCTAGCAGCAGCTAGCCGCGGCAAGCAGCAGCTAGCCATATGTAGCAGCAGCTAGCCAAAGACAGCAGCAGCTGGGTTTGTAGCTGAGGTGTACATACACCCCGCGGTGTCTGTACAACCCGCCGTCGCCAGCTGCTGCTGCTGCTGCTGCAGTCGATGTGCTGCTGCAGCAGTTGTGCTGCTGCAGCAGATGAGCTAGCTGGCAGCTAGCTAGCAGCTAGCTAGCAGCTAGCTAGCAGCTAGCTGCAGCAAATATAAATCTTTTTAATTGGCACTTTGCTGCGCGGAATGGAGAAGCAAAGACCTCTTCAAAGACACCAGGAAAGCAGCAGCAGCAAACTAAAAAGTGAAAGCAGCAGCAGCAGCAGCAGCAGCAGCAGCAGCAGCAGCAGCAGCACCCTGCGGCGTTCACGCTTTGCAGCTGAGGTGTACGTACACCCCGCGTCGTTACCCCTCCTACTTTTCGCTCGCCTTTCTTTGCCTCTCAAAATCTGCTGCTGCTGCAGCACTTGTGCTGCTGCAGCAGCACAAGTGCTGCTGCAGCAGCACTTGTGCTGCTGCAGCACAATGCTGCAGCAGCACAAGTGCTGCTGCAGCACAAGTGCTGCAGCAGCAGCACACGTGCAGCAGCAGCAGCCTAAACACTAAGTAACAGCCTCGGCTCTGTCGACTGCAGCGTGCAGCAAAATGGACAAAATAAATAAATAAAAATAAATAAATAAATAAATAAATAAAATAAATAAATAAATAAATAAAATAAATAAATAAATAAATAAAATAAATAAATAAATAAATAAAATAAATAAATAAAATAAATAAACAAATAAAATAAATAAATAAGTAAAATAATAAATAAATAAAATAAACAAATAAAATAAATAAATAAATAAATAAATAAATAAAATAAATAAATAAATAAATAAATGAATAATTAAAATAAATGTCAATGTTGCAAAGCTCGCAGCAGCGCAGCAACCATCCAGGGGCCCCCGCCCTCAGAGGGTTTAGGGGGCCCCTCTCACTCGTGCTGCTGCTGCTGCAGCTAATATTGCTGCTGCTGCTGCTGCTGCTGCTGCTGCTGCTGCTGCAGCTCTCTCAAACCCGCCCCCAAAAGCGCTGCTGTTGGGGGCCCCCCGCCTGCCCCTTCCTGCCTTGTGGGGGCCCCCAGGGGCCCCCCGGGGGCCCCCAAAAGAGCCCCTGGGGGCCCCCAGGGGCCCCCAGGATCCCCAAAAGAGCCCCTGGGGCCCCCGAAAGGCCCCTGGGGGCCCCCCCGGGGGGCCCCTGGGGGCCCCCCTGGGGGCCCCCCTGGGGGGCCCCTGGGGGCCCCCCGGGGGCCCCCGGGGCCCCGAAAAGGTGCAGGAGGAAACTAGAAAGGGGGGGGGGGGCCCACGGGGGCCCCCGCGAGCTCGAGAGCAGCAAGAAGTTCTGCTGCAGCAGGAAGGGGCGGAAGGCCCCTGCGGTGTCTGTCCAGTGCACTCCAAATGAGATCTCTTTCGTAATAAATCTCAAAAGCTCCTGTCTGCAGCAGCAAGCTGCTGCAGACAGCAGCAGCAAGGAAGACAGCAGCAACGAGCAGCAGGCGGTTGGCCTCTGCTGCAGCAGCAGCAGCAGCGGCGCGCTCGCGCGGCAGCAGCAGCGGCAGCAGCTGCCGCGGCAGCAGCAGCAGCAGCAGCAGCAGCCAGCGCGCCCCACTCACTGCAGCAGCCAGCAGCTGCAGCAGCAAACAGGGACTGTAGGGCTGCTGCAGCACGCGGAAACCCTCCAAAGTCCCCAAGTGGTATTCCAAGAAGCTTTTTAGCTGCTGCAGTGCTGCTGCTGCTCCTCAGGAGGGGCAGTACTGCACAGTGACTTGGTGTGGGGTGATGGCCTGCGGCAGCGGGTTCTGCGCCTCCAGCAGCCAGCCCCACCTGCTGCTGCTGCTGCTGCTGCTGCTGCTGCTGCTGCTGCTGCTGCTGCTGCTGGGCGCGCTGCTCGGGCTGCTCAGCGCAGACAGCAGCGAAGGCACCGCCAGCAAAACCCCCAGCACCAGCAGCGCCACCAAAGCGCCCCCGTCTTGCCGCTGCTGCCGCTGCTGCTGCTGCTGCTGCTGCTGCTGCTGCGGCTGCTGCTGCTGCTGCTGCTGCGGCCGCAACTCGCGGCCAGGGGCCCCCCGACCCCCCTCGGGACCCTCCATTGCCCTTTTTGTTTACTTTTCTTTGTTTTAATTCAGAAAATTAAACTTGCATGCAAAAAGAAAAGAAAATGCCCGGCGATTTCCCGCGGCGGCGCCCCGCGGCAGCGCGAGGTGTACATACACCCCAGGCAGCTGCAGCACACCTCCCCGCAGCTCTTCTTAAAAGTATTTCTTTTCTTCCAAACCGAAAAAGAAATTAATTTAATGCATTTGCTGCTTCCAAAGAAGCCTCCAGAGCTGCAGCAGCAGCTGCAGCGGCGGCTGCTGCTGCTGCTGCTTTGCTGCGCCGCTGCGGCGCCGCCCGCCGCTGCTGCTGCTGCTGCTGCCAGGCGGGCCCCACAGCTGCTGCTGCTGCCTACGCTGCACAGACCACTCCTAGGGCCCCCTGCTGCTGCTGCTGCTGCAGTGCAGCGCAGCAGCAGCAGCAATTTGTCCGCATCTTTATTAATGTCCTTTTATTAGAAAATTTTAAAGCAGCAACAGCTGCAGCAGCAGCAGCTGGGAAGCAGCAGCAGCTGCTGCTGCTGCTGCGCACATTGCTGCTGCGAGGACAGTGGTCCACGTCGGCAGCGGCCCCCGCACTGCTGCAGCAGAAGCAGCAGAAGCAAATGGAAATGCAGCAGCAGAAGCTGCAGCAAGAGTCGCAGCAAAAGCCGCAGTCTTGAGGAAAGCAGCAGCAGCAGCAGCAGCAGCAGCAGCAGCAGCAACAGCGGCAGCTGCAGCTGCTGCTGCGGCCTCAGCAGAGACTCATTGAGCCCTGTCCAAGGGCTCCCCTGTTAGCAGCAGCAGCAGCTCAAATTTTCTGCTGCTGCTGCTGCTGCTGCTACTGCTTCTAAAAAGTGTGCATGTGCTGCGGTAAGCTCGAGCCAGCAGCAGCAAGCCACACCACAACTGCAGCAGCAGCAGCAGCAGCAGCAGCAGCAACCCCAGCAGCAGCACAAGTGACAGCGGCAACACCCGCAGCAAAAACAGGCGCGACAGCCGCAGCAGCAGCAGGAACAGCAAATCCTGCAGCTGCAGCAGCAGCAGCAACTACAGCAACAACTGCAGCAGCAGCAGCAGCAACTACAGCAGCAACTGCAGCAGCAGCAGCAGCAACTACAGCAGCAACTGCAGCAGCAGCAGCAAAGGCAGAGGCGGCAGGATGGCGTCGCTGCTGCGGAGGGGGAAGGCAACGCCTTCCATGCCAGCAGCAAAAGCAGCAGCAAAGCCTGAAGCAGCAGCAGCAGCAAAGCCTGCAGCAGCAGCAGCAGCAAAGCCTGCAGCAGCAGCAGCAGCGGGAAAGCCTGCAGCAGCAGCAGCAAAGACAAAAGCCCCGCTGACACTGAAGGAGAGACAGAAGCAGCAGCAAGAGCTGCGGGAGCGGCTGCTGCAGCAGCAGCAGCAGCAGCAAGGCAAGCCTTTTGCTGCTCCCAAAATTAAAGCCAAGTTTGTCTCTCAAGTTAAGAAACCTGTTGCTGCTCTGGACGCAGCAGCAGCAAAACCAGCAGCAGCAGCAGCAGCAAAACCAGCAGCAGCAGCAGCAAAACCAGCAGCAGCAGCAGCGAAACCCGCAGCACCAGCAAAGCCTGCACCGGCGGGAGCAGCAAAACCAGCAGCAGCAGCAGCAGCAGCAGCAGCAAAACCAGCAGCAGCGAAGCCTGCAGCACCAGGAGCAAAACTTGTGGGGAAAACGCCTGCTGCTGCTGCTGCTGCTGCTGACTCCAAGAGCCCGCCCGCAGCAGCAGCAGCAGCAGCTAAACCCGAAGCAGCAGCAGCAGCAGGAAAAACAGCAGCAGCTGCTGCAGCTCCACCAGCTGCAAAGCCTGCTGCAGCGGACGCAGCAGCAGGGGCCCCCAAGGGCCCCCCGGGGCCCCCAGGGGCCCCCAAGGGCCCCCCGGGGCCCCCAGGGGCCCCCAAGGGGCCATCTGTGCCCCCAGGGGCCCCCAAGGGGCCCCCTGTGCCCCCAGGGGCCCCCAAGGGGCCCCCGGGGCCCCCGGGGCCCCCGGGGGCCCCCAAGGGTCCTAGTCTTAAGATAGATGTGAAGCCTAAGGGGCCCCCGGGGGCCCCCAAGCCCCTGGGGGTTGAAATAAAGCCGAAGGGGCCCCCGGGGGCCCCCACAGCAAAAATTGAAATAAAGCCAAAGGGGCCCCCGGGGGGCCCCCCGGGCCCCAAGGAAGCAGGGGCCCCCAAGGGGCCCCCAGAGTCTGCTGCAGTTAAGTCGAAGGCGGGGCCCCCGGGGGCCCCCAAGGGGGCCCCCAAGGGGGCCCCCGAGGAGGGGGCAAAGCTGGGTGCGAAGCCAGCAGCAGCAGCAGCAGCAAAGGCAGCAGCAAAAGGAGACGCAGCAGCAGCAGCAGCAGCAGCAGCAAAGCCTGCAGCAGGGGGCCCCGCCCCCAGGAAAACCCTGGCAGATTTGCTGGCAGCAGAAAAGAAAAAAATGGCCCCAAAGAAAACCCTTGCTGAACTTTTGGGTACTAAGGGGCCCCCCGAGGGGGGCCCCCCTAAGGAGGGGGCCCCCGGGGGCCCCGCAGCAGCAGCAGCAGCAGCAGCAGCAGCGGGGGGGGCTGGCGCTGCTGCGAAGCAGCAGGCGGTGAGCGAGGAAGCAGCAGCAGCAGCAGCAGCAGTGGCGGCGTTTGCTGCTGCTAGCCCCGAAGCTTTTGCTGCTGCTGTCCTTTCTGCTGCTGGCAAAAAAGCAGAAATTCTTTCAAAGTTGAAAACCCTAAACCCTAGCCTTCCGGAGGCGGCGCTGGCCACGGCCCTCAAGAAGCTCCCGGGTCCGCGAGGGTTTAGGGTTTAGGGTTTAGGGTTTAGGGTTTAGGGTTTAGGGCTTAGGGTTTAGGGTTTGGGGGTACACAAAGGCAAGTCTACGCGGCTTTCCAACCAGCACTTACACCTGCAGATACGTTGGCTGGCCCCTGAGGGTTTAGGGTTTAGGGTTTAGGGTTTAGGGTTTAGGGTTTAGGGTTTGGGGTTTGCTGCGTGTGTTTCGCCAGCCTCTGAGGCTGCCTTTGTCTCCTTGAGGGTTTACTTGGGAGAGCGTTGGGGGCAAGAGCGTAAGAGGCTTCTTGCTGCTGCTGCTGCTGCTGCTGCTGCTGCTGCTGCTGCTCCGAAGGCAGCGGGGGCCCCCGAGGGGCCCCCAACCTCCAAAGGGGGGCCCCCTGCAGAGGCCTCTAAGGCAGGGGCCCCCAAGGATACCCCCGCAGCAAAGGGGGCCCCCGGGGCCCCGGGGGCCCCCAAGTCCCTGGGGGCCCCCGAGGCCAAGGGGGCCCCCCAAGCCAAGGGGGCCCCCGAGGCCAAGGGGGCCCCCGGGGACCCAAAGGCCCCGGGGGCCCCGGGGGCCCCAGGGGCCCCAGGGGCCCCGGGGGCCCCGGGGGCCCCGGGGGCCCCGGGGGCCCCCGGGGGCCCCCCAGGAGAAGAGGGTTTATCTGTTGAGGGTTTAGCTCGAAAGGCAATGACCGCAATGCCTAAAGTGTGCGAGGCGAAGACTTGGCAAGAAGCTGCGGAGGTCTATGCAGGCGCGCAAACCCTAAACCCTAAACCCTAAACCCTAAACCCTAAACCCTAAACCCTAGCTGCAAGGGGCTGCTGCGACCCCTGGGGGAACCCTTTCTCCTGAATGCTTCCGCGGGCTCTTTGACTTTAGGGTATTTGTACTAGCTTTGTGCGCGGCAAGACCTGGGGTTTAGGGTTTAGGGTTTAGGGTTTAGGGTTTAGGGTTTGAGCGCAGAGTGCAGCCTCGCCGCTGCGGCTGTTCTTTCGGAGTGGAGGAAAACTCGTCCAGAAGAATTTGAAAAAGAAATCGGCAAAGACTTGGTGCAGCAGCAAACCGCGAGACTCAAGCAGCAGCAGCAGCAGCAGCAGCAGCAGCAGCAGCAGCAACAGGAGCCGAAGCAGCAGCAGCAGCCGCAGCAGCAGCAGCCGAAGCAGCCGCAGCAGCCGCAGCAGCAGAAGCAAGAGGAGGGGCAGAAGAAGGCGGAGCCGGAGAAGCAGGAGCAGCAGCAGCAGCAGGACCAGCAGCAGGACCAGCAGCAGCAGCAGCAGCAGCAGCAGCAGCAGAGTGCTGATGCTGCTGCTTCTCCAACTTCATTTCTTTCCAAATTCCCCAGAGGCCTCCCAAATGATTTAAAAGAAAAAATAAAAAAGCAAAAGACAAGAGACCCGGACAAGGCAGTTCTGATTCTTCAAGATTCCTTAGGTTTGCTGCTGCTGCTGCTGCTGCTGCTGCTGCTGCTGCTGCTGCTTCTGCTGCTGCTGCTGCTGCTTTTGCTGCTGCCTATGTAGGTTTGATCTGCTGCCTTGTGGCAGTAGCAGCTGCTGCTGCTTTGGCGCTGTGGCTGGGCTCCTTGCTGCACTCGTTTCGACTGCTGCTGCCGTTGCTGCTGCTGCTGCTGCTGCTGCTGCTGCTGCAGACATGGAGCGTTTGGATGTGCTGCTGCCGCTGCTGATATCCATGAACGATTACTTGGCGCTGCTGCTGCTGACTGCGGAGAAGCAGCAGGCCTTGGAAGCAGCAGCAGCGCAGCGGCAGCAGCAGCAGCAGCAAGACGCAGCAGCAAAGAAGTCGAGTGCAGCAAAGGCGCGGCCAGCAGCAGCAGCAGCAGCAAAAAGAGACAGCCTCCCTGCTTTTATGACAAGAGGGCGTGTGGGGTTTGCAGCAAAAGCAGCACAAACTCCTGCTGCTGCTGCTGCTGCTGCGAAGCAAAAGGAAGCAGCAGGAGAGCAGCAGCTGCGGATGTTTGCTGCTGAGGTGTACAGACACCTCAGCTGCTTCCCACATTTTCTCATCATCGGAGCAGCAAAGAAATGCCTCGGGAATATAAATAAATAAATAAATAAATAAATAAATAAATAAATAAATAAATAAATAAATAAATAAATAAATAAATAATAAATAAATAATAAATAAATAAATAAATAATTCAAATTTATTCTTTTTCCTTTTCTGCTGTTTCCCAGTGCCGATCATGTGGGGGTGCTGCTGCTGCTGCTGCTGCTGCTGCTACTACTACTACTACTACTGCTGCTGCTGCTGCTGCTGCTACTACTACTCCTGCTACTACTACTACTACTGCCGCTGCTGCTGCTGCTACTACTACTACTGCTGCTGCTGCTGCTACCACTACCACTCCTGCTGCTGCTGCCGCCAGTACTGCTGCTGCTGCTGCTGCTGCTGCTGCTGCTGCTGCAGCTGCTGGCGTGCGGCGGCTGGAGTGTCCACTGGTCACGGTGTTGCTGCGGAAGGCGGAGGGCTCGCACGTGCATTTGCTGCTGCTGCACTGGCTGCTGCAGCAGCAGCCAGCGAAGGATTTGCTGCAGCTCAGCAGCACTTGTGCTGCATGCAAAGAAGCTGTGGACATTTTCTTCAGAAGAACTTTAGCTGCGCTTCCCTTCCAGGCCGAGCCAGCCATCTCAGACATACAGTACTGTGCGCTGCTGCTGCTGCTGCTGCTGCTGCTGCTGCTGCTGCTGCTGCTTGCTGCGGCTTGCTGGCTCTGCTGCTGGTGCTTCTGCTGCTTTTGCTGCTTCTGCTGCTGCTTCTGCTGCTTATGCTTCTTCTGCTGCTTCTGTTGCTGCTTGCTGCTGCTGCTGCTGCTGCTTGCTGCTGCTGCTGCTTGCTGCTGCTGCTGCTTGCTGTTGCTGCTGCTGCTGCTGCTTGCTGTTGCTGCTGCTGCTGCGACCACCACGCCCCCGCCGCCGCCGCTGCTGCTGCTGCTGCTGCTGCTGCTGCTGCTGCTGCTGCAGGGTACAACTGCGTGCGTTTTTTTTTCCAAGCGGCGTGCTGGGTGTCTCCGGTGGACCGTTTGCGCAGCAGCAAAGTTGCTGCTGCTGCGCTGCGGAAAGCAAAAGAAACTTTTCCTGTTGCTGCTGATGGAATTAAGTCTTCTGTGTCTGTCACTCTCGACAAAATCCCCCCCGAAGCAATTTGCTGCTGCCCCTTCCCCGTCCCCATGCGCCACGCCACGCTCGGCGCAGCCAGGTCCGAGGGTTTAGGGTTTAGGGTTTAGGGTTTAGGGTTTAGGGTTTAGGGTTTGGGGTTTGGGGGTGGGCGGGGAACAGGGGCTGCGGGGCTTTGGGGGAGGGCAAATCCCAA